GTCATGAGCACGTTATAAAAGGAAAAATATAAAAGCGTTAAAACAAAGCTTTCTCGATATAAATTGAAATGCACACATTCGCCAGTGTGACAGACTTCCGTTTTTTAAATAAAGTTGTGTTAGAACAAATTGAGATTGCAAATGCTATCATCTCCCAGCAGAATGGGCACATTTATGTTGTATGCTTTCAAACTTGCATTGTTCAAGCAGATTTGAGTGGTCCCCCCTCTGAATCCTTCCAAAATTTTCAGTGATCCCCCCCTTTTGGGCTCTCAGTTACGACTGATCCCCCCTCTGTTCTCCTAAAAATCAAGTGATCCCCCCCAAAATCCTCCGACCCCCCCCCCCAGGTGATAAATAATGACCGGTCCCTAAATTAACACAAGAGTAAAACTGGTAAATACAGGATTTTATAAGTTTAGAAATTTGGTTGCTTTGAAGACCTTAATAAGGTAACAAAATAATAACATCCTTCTAAGGAACCATAGAAAAAGGAACATCTCGCTTGTTTCGATTTCGTTCCAAAAGATCATTGACGTGGAAGTTGATTTTTCCTTGGGGGTAACCATTTTGAAGAAGAACTTTTCTTAGATCATCCAGGGCAGATTGTAGCAAAGAAGAGGAGGAGCAAATTTGGTAGCAACGATATGTCAGAGTGCGGATTAAGTTTAATAATAATATTTTGTATTTGCGAGGACTGAAAGAGTCCCATTTAGTATAAAAACCCGTGAATGTCTTTTTCCGGGTAGACAGATCATAAAGATGGTGTTGGGGCCGCTTTTTACTAGGATATCGAAAAACGGAATTTCGCTGTCATGTTCAAATTCAATGGTAAACTCAACATTGTTGTGACGACTGTTTAAATACTGTAGAAACTCATTAGCAGAGTTTTTGTTGTTAAACATGGTGAAAGTGTCATCAACGTACCGAAACCAAAGTGAAGGACAAATATTACCGAATTTCTAAGCGCCTAAAATCCTGTATTTACCAGTTTTACTCTTGTGTTAATTTAAAAATAATTTTTCAAAACACCTGCCATATTAAATCTTTCTTTCCATACAAGGACCACCTTAATCGCTCTCAAAGATCCAACTCATTTTCAAAGCTTGTTGTTGGGATTCTAATGATATTTACATCGGTAAAACTAAGCGACGGCTCCATGATAGCAAGACTGAACACTTCAAGTCCCTAGCAAAAAATGATCACTCTTCAGCTATTGCTGACCATATCACTGCCACCGGACAAAACATTAAATGGGATCACTTGGAAATCTTACCATCTGGCAAAACGTATCATTATAATTGTGAGATAGAAGAAACATTGTTTATTCAAGACCTTAATTAAGCCAGCGTCAACATCAGCAGTGAAAAGTTGATGCTTTCTAAGCTGTTGCCTTTTGTATTCATTACTGTTAAAAATTTTTAAATTCCTAATCTCATCTCCAGACCCCTTGTAATTTTTGAATATATAGTCTCGTCATTTTCTTAACGGTAAGTTAAGATCACTTTTGAAAATGTACGTTAAATAGCATCCAACATACACATCATCGCATAAAAATGCGAAAACTCACAATGTTTATCACCGCTGTTTGTGTTTTATTTTTTATCAAAGTACGATGGCCCGAGAACAAAAGCTTTATAATATAATTTATAATGGTAATTGAACTGAAGGGAGTGCAATTTAGTCTGACATCATACGAAGTTCAATTACCAGTTTGCTACAGCCATTTTGAAATTAACTTCCGTCAGTAACAATATATTTATTTGATCTGGTAGCCTGTTTCAGGTTGAAAAGCAAAAACAAAAAGGCTTATATAAACGTCTCATTTTGTACCCGACACAGATATGATGCAATATAGAGCGAAAATGGTGCGATTTAAAACAGAAATGATGCGATTTAGAACCAGATGTGATTCGTGAATAGATCACACTGCTGAGAGCCAATCAGATTGCAGGGATCACCAGTGATTTCAAAATGGATATAATAAATGGTGAAAAGTTATAGAATACTTGAAAAAATCACGGAGAAAAGAATTGTCCAAATCTCCCCTGCTGCCAAAAATTAAATTTGAATGGCCCCTAATCAGTTACAGTACCACATTCCAAAACTAGTCGTACAGACGGAAGGTATAATTCCAAGACAGAAACGTGATATTCACCATATGAGGTCATAGCCTATAAACGTCTTGCTTTGCAATTATTTATGCGATCATTCTGGCGACAAAGATTGCCTCTAGCGGAGGTTGGACAGCTGTCACTTGGCTATTTCTGACCAATGAAATTCATCGCTTCAAAATTTTCAAACGCACATGAGAAAACTCAAAATGTTCGTAGCTATTCTCAATTTGTGTATATTTTGGCTATTTAGTCAAGATTGTCCATTTCTAGCCCTAAACCTTTTGCCAACCAGTTTCGATTCCATATGATTTGCACGATCACTAAAAGGGCAAAAACTGCCTGAGAGACCACAAGTTGCGAAAGCCTTTTCCTTGAGAAAATCCTTGAATCCCATTAGATTGGCTACACAATGATTAGTGAAAAATAAGGCAGTTAATGCAACGATCAAATTTGAGGAAATTGTAATGGTTATGATTAAAGGAGAATTCGGTTTCGAGTAACTTATTCTAATTTCAGTTCGAAACCACGCTATTAACTTCCGATAATGATGTTGTGACAGGGTCAATTTTGGTGTTTTAAATGCTTTTTGACAGTAGCAATTCAGTTTCTTTTTTCTTAAAAATCACAAAGTAAATTAAGTTTGTGAAAGATCTGAACCCAGCAGGAACCATTTCATAAGTAGGTTGAGTTTGATCGTCCGGGTGAACGTATGCAGTCCTGAATAGGACTGTTTTTGTTGACAGTGGGTCTAGTCAAGATTGTCGATATCTAGCCCTAAACCTTTTGCCAACCAGTTTCCATATGATTTGCATGATCACTAAAGGATAAAAACTGCCTGAGAGACCACAAGTTGCGAAAGCCTTTTCCTTGAGAAATATGGGCGAAGTCAGGTCTTTGAGGCCGCCACCACAACAAATAGACTTGACGCGTGTCTGATTCTGCCATAAATTTTCAGATGACGTTAAAATACGGTATCAACAAGCAAAAAAAAAATCGCCAAATAACTTGCGCTTAGTAAATAGAACTCAGTGTCTAAATGCCATTTTATCCCCGGGTCATCTCTTAAACCCAACTTGAGTTACACTAGATAGTACTGTTGTACTGTGATCTCTGCCGACTCGAGCTAGTAGTCCCAAAAGAAGAAGCCGAACGGGGAAGTTCTGTCTGAAAGAATTTTAAGTTTTAATATTGACACGATCAGAAATCTTAAAAGTAAACGCAAAAATATTNGAAAAATAAGGCAGTTAATGCAACGATCAAATTTGAGGAAATTGTAATGGTTATGATTAAAGGAGAATTCGGTTTCGAGTAACTTATTCTAATTTCAGTTCGAAACCACGCTATTAACTTCCGATAATGATGTTGTGACAGGGTCAATTTTGGTGTTTTAAATGCTTTTTGACAGTAGCAATTCAGTTTCTTTTTTCTTAAAAATCACAAAGTAAATTAAGTTTGTGAAAGATCTGAACCCAGCAGGAACCATTTCATAAGTAGGTTGAGTTTGATCGTCCGGGTGAACGTATGCAGTCCTGAATAGGACTGTTTTTGTTGACAGTGGGTCTAGTCAAGATTGTCGATATCTAGCCCTAAACCTTTTGCCAACCAGTTTCCATATGATTTGCATGATCACTAAAGGATAAAAACTGCCTGAGAGACCACAAGTTGCGAAAGCCTTTTCCTTGAGAAATATGGGCGAAGTCAGGTCTTTGAGGCCGCCACCACAACAAATAGACTTGACGCGTGTCTGATTCTGCCATAAATTTTCAGATGACGTTAAAATACGGTATCAACAAGCAAAAAAAAAATCGCCAAATAACTTGCGCTTAGTAAATAGAACTCAGTGTCTAAATGCCATTTTATCCCCGGGTCATCTCTTAAACCCAACTTGAGTTACACTAGATAGTACTGTTGTACTGTGATCTCTGCCGACTCGAGCTAGTAGTCCCAAAAGAAGAAGCCGAACGGGGAAGTTCTGTCTGAAAGAATTTTAAGTTTTAATATTGACACGATCAGAAATCTTAAAAGTAAACGCAAAAATATTTCAATTTTGATATATTAAAATGCGTATTTGGCTTCAAGGCTTGAGGGAATAAAACAAATTAAAGAAATATCTTGAGCAGTTGAGGCTCAGCAATGAATTATACATTATTTTGTTATGTTTTATTCCCCCAAGCCTCGGATCAATTTTATCGTTGGTTTATTAAAATTACATTCTCCTTTCCTTTAGACATCATTCATTACCATACCCAAATACCAACGAAAGTGAGTGAAATGAAATGTAAGTGAGTTAAATGAATGTGTCAAAAGTGGACATAATTGACGTAATAAATTTTTACGAATGATAGAACGCGATGTTTCACTTTCTCGAGCCGCGGGACAGGTTCCAAACACATGGATCATATAACGTGCTTTTCAAGCTTCCTTATATCAAGGAAAACCTGAACCTGTTGACAAACAATCTAAATTAGTGACAACAATAAGAAAAATCACTTCAATAACTCAAGTTCTAGCCAGTTCCAGGTTCTTAAATTGTGGGAAAGACGCGAAAGAGTGGGAAGACACGAAAGTGAAAGGTACGCGAAAAGAGGGGCGGACCCGACACTATAAAAGCATCAGAATGTTCAAGGGAGTGAAGCAGTCAGTGACTTAGAATCAGAGGAGAGCATAATCAGTATACCAACAATGGTCAAGTTAGGATTTGCATTTATTGCAGCTGTAGTCTTGTGTCTTTGCGGCAGCCATGCTGCCAACTTACTGCCGGAAGAACTAGATTCGCTGACAGATTTCAAATATGGAAATTTAAAGGACCAAAGAAGCCGTAGTGAAGCCCCTCATGAGGAGGATGCTGAATTCCAAGATGATAACTTCAAAGATTACGATGGCTCAAAAGAGGAGCAAGGTTAGTTCACGGTGCTTAATTAATTCAGTTTCTCTTTTGAAAAATACAAGCTTCAACGCACCATCACGAGTACGATACTGGTACAAAATTCTTCTTCTACCTCTTTTCTCGAGTATGCATTTTCTTGACGTTTTGCTATGGCCTGGGACTTAAGTCGTTTTTGTTTTATTCGCCACTTGATCACATGACAACAGAAAGCAGGCAACGTCGATTTATTAGCGCCAGATGTGGAGGAAAAACCTACAACCCGACATTTCGTATGTGCTGTGGTGGTACAATAAAGTCAGGTCGGGAATACGACTCGCGTGTTGCGGGACTCAAGCTTACGATTCTAATTTCAGGATCTGCTGTGGTGGCACTGTACAAGTCAGGTCGGGAATAAAACCCGCGTGTTGCGGGACCCAAGCTTACGATGGAAATTTCAGGATCTGCTGTGGTGGCACTGTACAATTTAGGTCGGGAATAAGACCCGCGTGTTGCGGGACCCAAGCTTACGATGGAAATTTCGAATCTGCTGTGGTGGCACTGTACAATTTAGGTCGGGAATAAGACCCGCGTGTTGCGGGACCCAAGCGTACGATGCTAGTTTCAGGATCTGCTGTGGCGGTATTGTAAAATTCAGATGCTGACCAGTCTCAAGTGAAAATAGAATAGTGAAGATGATGATAAAGTTAAAGATAAAGATAAAAACAATAAAGATAATAATTGCCCCCGCAGGGATTTCGCCCAGAGGCGAAATCCCGAGGAGGCACCCTAGTAACTCGCGCGTATATTAGGGACAGTACTTACAGTTCAAATATACAGTCAGTATACTAGAAAAAATCTCGATTTGCTCGAACAGGGGCCGCGAGGAATCGGTAGGTAATGATGACGTTTCTATTGTTTGCGCCCGCAAGTACGAAATGGTTAAGATGACGTAAAGACAGAAAATCCCAAAGGGACCTCTCAGGTAGATTTTGTGACATTTATTGTGCAGTCATACTTCGATACTCTTTTGCGTAACGCAGTGACATTCTGTGGAGCAGTTGTTTTGAAAGTTATGGACCAAAAGACACTCGTTAATCGCAGATGAGGTTATAAGGTGCGTTTAACTGTGTATATATAAACACTTGGAGAGTTTGCTAGACACGAGTTCACAAATCTTTGATTTATATTACCTTGCCAGACACTCTTTCTCTCTCTTTGACCGGAATAAGACTCAGCCCCAAACAAGGAAGACGAGTGAACAACGGCTAGCTTATCACAAGCAGATTGATGGACAATTACAGAAATGCACCGACAATCAAATTCTGCGCTGACTTATTCCCTGCTCACAGATGTCCTTCCGTTATAAAGTTTCAAATAAGACTAGAATGCGCGAGCGTGAATCGATCAAACATCCTTTTAATTTCTAAGGCTTACTTTCCGCTAAATAAAATGAACTGAATGTAAAAAGTGAAAGAGAAACAGCGAAAAATTCAACTTCTAATTAGATCTTTTCTTATGGTTTAGAATAAACTATTCTCGGAACTGAGAATGTTTTGATCAAATCTGTGTAAATCGTGCTGAAACTGGGCATGGAACCTTGCGTTTCCTGTATTTATCTCACCTATTGTATGGAATATGTGTGAAAATCTTCATTATGAATCGGTATATTTCAAAGAGCTACACAACGAGCAAGAATACTATTGACCGACAATATACAGAACGGGGGCAGCTGTAGTGTCAACTATTACTAGTAATAATGATAGTAATAACGTAACAATCATAAGACAACATTTCAAGAAGCAGCAGTGATCTGTGCTTTAAATAATCATATTCTGTCTGGAGTCAAGAGAAATCAAATAAAAAAGTGAGACGCCCTTTGTCCTGGCTGCGCTTCTAATTTACAAGGAAACTGGTGTCAGTTCAGTCTCTCGCAGTAGTTTGCCATTATCGAGGACTAAATATATTAAACCCCCCTTCTCGCAAAAAAGTGTATAGACTTAATCGAACGAAAAGAATGTAATTTATCAAAAATAGAACAAAAACAGCGGTGATAAACATCGTGAGTTTTCACATTTTTATAAACTTGACGTTTACTATGCTATTCAACATACATTTTCAAAAGTGATCTTAAGTGACCGTTAAAGAAAATGACGAGACTACATATTCCAAAATTACAAGGGGTCTTAATCACTTTCTATTTTTATGAATTGACCCATTTTTTGGATTGAATGAAGAACATTTTACTTTTCATCTGCAGTACAAACATTCTGGTACGTTTGCTAACCGTAAATATGAAGAAGTCATACCCCAAAAAATCAGAAAATGTTCGACTCCATTCTAGTAACTATGACTAGTTTGACTATGAACTAGTTTGACTATGAATTTGTCCAGCTAAGCCTCAACCTCGTATTGTTGTGAGTGATGACTGGAACGGGATGTGTTGATTGTTTGCAGTTGTTATAACAACAGGGTAATGTGTAGTCTAGTGTAGCTATTAGAGAGATGAAACACTACGTTTACACAAACAACAGAGATGGGCCTCGTGGTCAAATTTCCTTTCATTTTTCACGTGCTCATTTGTTAATATATATTTTTTTAATATTTAGAGATTGCATTCTGATTGATTGTCTGAACGGGCCATTTGCACGATGACGACATTATACAACAACGACCAGAATACTTTGGTGTTTTGCTTTCTTGTGCAAATTAGGGGTTTTGTTATTTAAACCTCGCTGGGATTACCAAATTTAAATATGAAAGGGAAGACGAAAAGGATTCTGGTCGTAGTAGAGAAGTGAGGTCATCGTGCAAATAACTTATTTTCTCATTCTTTCATTTTAAAAGTAGTTCAATAAAATTTCATTCTTAACCGAAATAAGCTGGGCTAGAAATACCACTCTCAGATTTTGGCTTTTTAGGTGCTACTTATTAAAGAAGCACTGAAGTTAGTGTGGAGTCCCAATAGCAGATGGCTCCCAATAAGTGTTTGAACAAAAAGAAACGAAACTTCGAATTCGTGGAATTTCTTATTGCGAAATTTCTTTGGGAGGGTTTGCTCTCCTCACGACTGGAAACTCGGCTAATATATCGTTATCTTTCTAATACACCTGAGGGACGGGGGGGGCGGGGGGCGGGGGGCGGGGGGCGCTTAATTTGTCCAGCCAGTGTCTGTTGATTAATGCGCGATATAAGAAATCGAAAGGTACCCAGTAACAGTTTAAACCTATTAAGCGATATTACTAGTATTCATTCTTACAGCACTCGGTCTTCCTCTATCAAATACCTTCTATATTAAGAAATCTAGGCTAGACTTCCAAAAGAGAGCTTTTTCAAGAGTAGGAGCTAAAATTTGGAATGAGATATCAGCACCATTCAGAGAGAGCTCCCAAAAAACGCTTCAAAACGAAACTTCAGTCTTTTCCTTGTTGATATCCTAATAGAACATGATGACTATATTGATATTTCCCAAATTACCTCTGCTGATCTGAAAACGCATAAATAGAACTTTTAAAAGTTGCTTCATTCAAACGTACGTTAATGAAACTGAACTTGTAATGTATCTCATGTAAACTACCAAAACTTCTTTCAGTAATTAAGTCTCCTTTTGTAATATTAGTAAATATTCTCATTGTAATGTTTTAGTGTGACTGTTCCGCCCAGATTTGCAACTGCTATTTTCGGACCAGTCTCATTTACATTTACCATTTAGGTCTGTTACTCAGTTCTGAGCATTTTAGACCGCTCTAAAAAAAGTGACTGAAATGGCGCTTATGAGCGCAGAATAATAAAAGTGTTAATAAATGTTTGAAATTGCATTTTTAAAAGCAGCCAGTGAGTTGGACAATTCTATTTTCCTTGGCAGTTTATTCCATTCTGTAATTGTCCTTGGGTAGAAGGAATACTTGTAGTAATCCCTAATGGCTGTCGGCAGTGCGTGAGAGTACTCTAAGGAGCGAGTTGAGTACGAATGGCCAGCGGATTCAGAGTTTGGCATCTTCGTGAGAGATTAGCCTGTATCGCATTTTATACAGCATAGATAGGCGTGCTGTGGTTCTTTGTGTTGTGTTGTATATTTGCAAATATTTCTTCAAATAAAATTGGCTAAGTTGAAGTTGAAGGAGGCCGGGAGATAGGGGATTATTGGAGACGGGGAACGTGTATTAAAAACTGAAGAGGCGACCCTTAGTAATTCATTTTATTTCATAAACGGTATTACTGAATAGTCAGTGAACAATATTGGGTGAAAACAACAGTGATTCTTTACTTGCAATGTAAAATGAGTTTTGCAAGAAAACTAGAGCTACCGTACCCACTACACTGAAATTGACAATCTGCTTGAAAACAAAACTAAAATGGAGATTCTTTTCCAGTCGTACACTGCGTATTCACGATACATCGAAGACCAAAGAAGCCGTAGTGAAGCCCCTCATGAGGAGGATGCTGAATTCCAAGATGATAACTTCAAAGATTACGATGGCTCAAAAGAGGAGCAAGGTTAGTTCACGGTGCTTAATTAATTCAGTTTCTCTTTTGAAAAATACAAGCTTCAACGCACCATCACGAGTACGATACTGGTACAAAATTCTTCTTCTACCTCTTTTCTCGAGTATGCATTTTCTTGACGTTTTGCTATGGCCTGGGACTTAAGTCGTTTTTGTTTTATTCGCCACTTGATCACATGACAACAGAAAGCAGGCAACGTCGATTTATTAGCGCCAGATGTGGAGGAAAAACCTACAACCCGACATTTCGTATGTGCTGTGGTGGTACAATAAAGTCAGGTCGGGAATACGACTCGCGTGTTGCGGGACTCAAGCTTACGATTCTAATTTCAGGATCTGCTGTGGTGGCACTGTACAAGTCAGGTCGGGAATAAAACCCGCGTGTTGCGGGACCCAAGCTTACGATGGAAATTTCAGGATCTGCTGTGGTGGCACTGTACAATTTAGGTCGGGAATAAGACCCGCGTGTTGCGGGACCCAAGCTTACGATGGAAATTTCGAATCTGCTGTGGTGGCACTGTACAATTTAGGTCGGGAATAAGACCCGCGTGTTGCGGGACCCAAGCGTACGATGCTAGTTTCAGGATCTGCTGTGGCGGTATTGTAAAATTCAGATGCTGACCAGTCTCAAGTGAAAATAGAATAGTGAAGATGATGATAAAGTTAAAGATAAAGATAAAAACAATAAAGATAATAATTGCCCCCGCAGGGATTTCGCCCAGAGGCGAAATCCCGAGGAGGCACCCTAGTAACTCGCGCGTATATTAGGGACAGTACTTACAGTTCAAATATACAGTCAGTATACTAGAAAAAATCTCGATTTGCTCGAACAGGGGCCGCGAGGAATCGGTAGGTAATGATGACGTTTCTATTGTTTGCGCCCGCAAGTACGAAATGGTAGTAAAATGAGTTTTGCAAGAAAACTAGAGCTACCGTACCCACTACACTGAAATTGACAATCTGCTTGAAAACAAAACTAAAATGGAGATTCTTTTCCAGTCGTACACTGCGTATTCACGATACATCGAACGCTATGATTCGCTTACATCAGAGGAGGCTTCTGGCCGTCGTGCAAGGCCACCCTCCCTCACCCCCTCCTCCCGCCACTCCCACACACCTGCCTCGTGAAAAGAAAAGGAGACTCCCGGAACGAGAATGCTGCACGTCCCTTAAAGCATGAGAGGATGGGGACAAGAGATACCCCGGGAACGAGGTTGATTTAGAGCATAATGACTATGACGTCATGTGCCTAGATAAGATACAGCGTGAGAAACTACAATTTTACATCAGTTTGAGTTTCTGTTTCTGAGTCAGGAGCCGATTCTGTTTTGTGTTCCTTGTTTGGGGTTTTGTATTTCCGTTTAGAGATTTATCTATCTGTTTCGGGTTTTGGGTTTTCGATTTTGCTTGTATGCTTTTTTTTAGGGTTTTGCACGTCTATTTCCAGGTTTTGAGTGTTTGTATTGTATTACGGGCATCAACGAAAACTTTCAGTTTTTTTTTAAATTGTATGATTCTATTTTGTATTTTGTGATTCTGGTTCTTGTGCTTCCGTTTTGGAATCTATGTTTCTGTTTTGGGATTGGTTTTTCTTTTTGGGTTTTGTGGTCTGTATTTTCCGTATCGGCCACCATATATTTGACCGCCGTTTATCTGTAAATCTATCCACTAGAGGAAACTTAACTCGGTTAAGCGTTTCTTGACAATTCAGATAGGAAAAAGGCTCAGTTATCTCAGAGTTTAAGCAGGTATCTCATATGTCATATGTGCTTTATTTTTTGCTTCTCTTGTTTAATTTAAAAGTAACTTGTGATTTAGACCAGTTTACGACAGTCAATCACAGTATATGTTGCTATGTTTTGTTAAGGGTCCTGACGCGAATTCTGTTTTAGTCCATGGTGAAGGCGAATGTGATGGACTAATGTCTATACAATAGAGAAAGGTGAGGAAAGAGGGTCCATTGATACGTACTCTGCTCGTCACTTTTTTTGCCTTATTACTTTTTATATAAATGATGTCTTTTTATAATTACAAATGCGTTTTGGTTGTTCTGATACCTCTGACAAGATGATGGGTATGTTGGATCTTGAACAGAGTTCGCATGTTTTAAAGCTTTAAAAGTTTGCTTACATCTCCTTTTCTTGTAAAATTCCTCTTACACAGTAGATATTAGAATTGTTAATGTTTTGTGCAAGTGATTTCGTTGATTATCTTTACACATTTTTTAATACACGTAAAATTGTCCTTCTTTCAGGAAGAGATAGATACAGGAAAATTATACATCTCATTCAGAGGTACATTTGTCCAGTTGGAAGGTTCCAGATCCTTAATACGGTTTCCTTTAGTCTTCTTTCATCTAGAGCTGGATGGTAAGTTGTTAATGATCAAAACTTATTTCTGAAAGAAGTGGTTTTAGTACTTTTATGCTGAACGTGACTGAGTACTATTATATTAGTAACACAGCATTTCTCCTTCCAGTGAGGGTGTGTCCTAGCTCTATGTAGATTATTAAGTCAGGAAATCAAGGCATAAGGCCCTATTATTGTTCGGTTTAAATTACATGAGAAGAAAACAGCTGTACAAACCTAGGAAACATCTAAAGTCAGTGAGTTTAAATCACTATTCTCATGCTACAAACGTGGTATATATCAATAAAAATTTTACATATTCAAGGCGCAAGTTTTTTGCTAAAGTTAGAAAATTAAGAATGATAATCATTGGCATAGTGCCTGGACTTTGGACGGCAAGATATTTATTGAGAAGTTCACAGGAAGAACCCAGCCAAAAATAAGGAGGTCTTAACAGAATTAGCTAATTTTGCCTTTTTCTTTCTTCGTTTTTTTCGACTCAGTTACCAAAACTCCGATGCTAATTTGCTCCCCAAAATAAGAATCACTTCTCTTCAATTACAATATCATTTAAATTGCTCGCTTTCTTCCCCTTACACATTGCTACCTTTTTCAGTCTAAAATTTACATTCTCATATTTAATTAGCGGAGAGAATGATAGAAGGGCGTCGCTTTTTCTCTAATCGCGATTGAATACGACGCTGTTTTGCATCTTTGCATTTAACCTTCCTATTCCTTCCTATACAATAAGCTGTTCTTCAGGGTGTTTCAAAAGTTCGCTCCGATTTTTTATTCGCTCCCCTGGTAAATTTCACTAATTACTAAAAAAAACCTTTTGTAAAACTTAGTATGTTATTCATTATTCATTTAACATTGAATAACTAAAATATTAGAAACCAGAATGTCTTCTTGAACAGGGGTCTTTTTTGCATGAGCATGCGCGACCGCTGAACAAGCGATGTGCATGGGGCGGCTCACCACAGGGTTTGCCTTCATCAAAATGGCGCGTCTCAAAGCTATCATAGCGATTATTTTGCTCGTTGGTCTTGGCGAATGTGCTCGTGATTTAACAAAATGTGTAGTTTGCAAAAAAAACTCTAACATGGTCTTAACAAAAGCGAAGTAGACAAGCTTTAACATACACGAGCTACTATCAAATTTCATCTCCCCACTTGACCTGGACAACAGCGCGCGTATATGTAGTGCCTGGAGGATTGCGCTGACCTCATCAAAGTCTAAACAAAGTGCAGAAACAGTTTGTTGATGCAAGTAAACACTTTCAATTTTCTTTGTTTTGAAATCGGAAAGGAAGAGAAATATTAGAAAAAAAACAAAGCAAATTTCAGCGAGTGGGTTCGGAGTGCGCGAAAGCCGATGTTCAGTTCAGCAGTGAATTAATATATGTTCTACAATTTTCCCAGCACTTTAAAGCTACAAAATTAAGAGCACACGAGACGTAGATTAGTCACCTGGTGAGATGTTGGTGGTAGTCACTCTGTATGTCTCGAACAATAAAAAAAATGAATATCAATGAGACACAGTCAAAACTGCATTCAATAGGACCGAAATTAAAGTCCAATCTTGTGACCGATTTTGATGAAACATACGGTTAGGTTTCCCAAGAAGTACAGTAAACATGTGATGCCGACCAAAAGTTAAAAATCATTAGAACATTTAAGTTCTGGCTAAAAGCAAATTCCTGCAAAAGATGCGTTACAATATTAGTCCACGCAAAAACAAGAAGTTCTACAATTTTCCTATAAACAAACTTTGTATCACTAAAATACTTAAGGCAAAAACTTTCTATTCCAACTGAAAACGGCGTGGTAGTCGCCCGCTGATCGTTATTAATCCACTCCCGAAATATGGCTAAATCAGCTATTAACAAATAATTGTCAGAAATCCTCTACGGCATCGAGAAACTGATTTACATCCGATTTATAGACAAACATTAAATAAAGAACATTTTGCTCAGTAGCTACGCATCAGCAATGCATTCTATGCCAAACTTTGCGGTTCTTAAAGGGGAATCAAGACACGAGTCGAGCGCCAAACAACAACAAGCAGCCATGTTCGTGTCAGACATCCTTGAGAAACTTGCTCTTTCACCTCGTTCAGCGCATCAGTCTCCACTTTAAATCAACAGATCTTTACTTATTTTGTACAACGAAGTTCTTTCCTAAGTTCCTGCTACCATTTCAATCTCAAGCAAGCGTTCAAAGTGAACAATTTGGTTCCTATGACTATGCAGCACGGTCGCTGTCACTGGTCGCGTGCTCTTTGTTAGTGCTCTTTGACAAGTCAGCGGTCGCGCATGCTCATGCAAAAAAGACCCCTGTTGTCTTCTTGTATGTTTTCTGACATTTTCTAAGCGGTGAGGTATAGCATGTACGAGCTCCCAAAGCGTGTCCAATTAGTCACATTCTTCCAGTCGAAGTGTAGTCACTCTCTTAGCTCGTCCAGTGTTTTGGGGGCTTGATCTTTGTATCGGTCTTGTCTACGATAATCCAGATGGTCTCTAGGGGGGTCAAATCACGTGAGTTTGCCGGCCGGTCCTCCTTTGGTATAAAGTTTACAAATCCTTCTGACACATGCTTGCATGAAGTGTGCACCGCCTTTTTCAAATCAAGGCTTTCCAACCTTTTTTGGTAACTTATATCCATACCGTTGTGCTCGAAACTCTGATCGATAATGTGAAGTTAAATTTTTTTTACCTTTCTGTTTTTTGGAATTATTACACATATACTTAAAGCTTTTTCGTTAATAGTTCTCACACAGTTTGTGAAAAAACGGCCATCCACTCCTTGGTTGTCTTCTAAGGTTTTTACTTTTGACCACTCGCTCGATCATTGTTCATCTTTAAGATTTCTTCAACAATTTGGTAATTTTTTTTTGACTGAATAGCCAGAGGACCATAAAAATAGATGCCTGAGCTCTAGCACAAACAGTGTAGACCTTCATTTTCACGAAGGAGTAGAGAAAATAAAAGAAAACGTGAAAAATACCAAAAAAGAAAACCTACAAAATGGGCAGGAAAAGTATGGCTGGAAAAATCTCGTGACGTGTACAGTTGGGGCAAAAATTAAAAAAAATTATAATTTCTTCAAATTTTAGTTTGAAATTGCTTTGAACGGTTATTTAGATAAATTTCTTACCTGAATCAGTTTACATTTGCCTAAAGAAGCATTAAATG